AAAAAAAAAGAACCTAAATCCAGGGCAGCCTGAATCCTACACAAGGTGAAGGCCCTGGGAGCCTGGGATGGGCCTGGAATCCAGAGGACGTCACTGAAAGAGACACTGGAAGGGGCAGAGTCACTCTTCAGCTCTTTCCCTATTCACAAGCAGAAATGGGGCTTAATCTTGTCCTGAGTATGGCCAAAACCTACATTTTCTCTACAGAGGGAGATGGTCATTTTCTTTTTTCTATTGGATTTGTATATATCCCACTTATGCATGAATTTTATTCTACAATTTAAAAAAAAAGTTAGTTGTTATATTAAGTTTATAAGAAAAAGAACCAACATTGGTTTAATGTCCACCACATACTATGCCATTTCTCACTTAATCCACATTTATTTGTCATAAAGAATAAAGATCCTGTTGTTACTCTAACATTACTGTTGAGGTCATATCTTTAGAGGTTATGCTATGTTATAAATCTAGCAGTTTTTATTTGACACCAAAGTCTTGGAGCTTCCTTTTCCCGGGGTTTCACCACCTTTGGGTCTTCCCCTGGTAGGGGGCTGTATAGTGAACACAGTGGGTTCTAAGCAGCACTGTAAAGTTGCATGTAATAGAACACATCAGTGTGTGTCGTGCACCAAGGGTAAGTTTTTTTGCATGTAGAACATCATTTTATGTTGCTTGAGAGTGAGTGGGAACATATGACTGTGTGCTCCGGGTTGTTGCAAAATGTAAGAAATACATGTGACCAGGACCAGCTGAAAATGTTTGCGAGTACTTGTCTTCAGCTGATTGGTCTGGGTAGATGCTGTACAAGGGGGCAAGTTACAGGACGTGTGCACAGTGGGGCGAAGGCAAAGAAAAGGAGGGGTGTTACACAACTTCTCTGGTATGCAGCTTCTCTAAATACGGCATAGGGGAGTAAACACAATGTCCTTGGTATGCAGGTGCAGCCTGAAGCTCTGGGTATGGCAGTTTAGGGAGTAATCAGAATAAAGTTAGTTTGGCCCTGGCAGGGCCTCAATGAAAGCCCAGATTCTGTAAAAGCGAGAGCCCACTTCTCCAGCTTGAGTCAAACTGACCAATGAGAAAGGGACCCATGGGCCAGAACTTTTTGACTGGAGATAAAAAGGGAAAGACCAAGCCAGTTGGAGAGTGGGGCCATTTTGAATTCTTCTATGCCGTTCACTCCCCTGCCTGAAATAAAGCCCATCCTCTTACGAACATGGTATTTGGGTGCTCTTTCTCTCCTTTGGGCCTGGTCTTCCTGCAACACGCTCGCGATACCCCAAGTTATACATCTAGGAGAGTTTGACAAGTCAGTCCTTCCAACAACTTTGTGATGCATATGTTGAAAACCAGAGAGAGCATGAGATGTGCCAGCTAGCTAGTTAGTGACAGTCAGACTAGTTTCTTCCTGTTACATCTCAGTGAATTTTC